ATTCGTATTCCAAAACGGGTACAGTGCAGGCTCATAATTCCAACATAATTAGATGATGCCATACCATTACTGCATCATTTTATAATATCAATTCAATAATCTGGGACAGAAAATTTATTTTCTCTTTGTTGAAGGTTGCTAACAACGTACCGCGCTCTGGAGCGCCTGTCGCAGAGCGAATTCAATCTTGACAGGCTTGAAGCAGCAGCATCCGCCGCTCAAACAGCACCTAGTGCAACTCTTGTTGTGCCAGGAGCAGTGCCAATTCTGTCAGGAGCAACAATACCCATGTGCAAACCTTGTGATCATCCGCTGACAGTCAATGACGTGGAGAGAGAACGTGGAAAGCAATTGACGAAGTATGAAAGAAACATGATGATATTCAATTGGCTGCACAATCTCGATGAAACACAGAGCAAAGATACGGAATCACTGTCACTAGTGTAATGTAATCCATTATTCGTAATTGAGACTCGTTGCAATCACATGATGTGGATCTAGATCTGTCAATCTGCTCGCGTTTATTGTCCTCAACAATTCAGTTACTCCATGGCAATTGATGATCGATAACTTATCGATTTATCGATAACTTGGATAGAAATAATACTCACAAACTATTTCATATCGAATATGTCAATTAGAGCCGGCTCTTTATAGCATTGACAATAATTTCATGGATGACAAAGTAGTAAACTGACATAATCGTGCATAATCTACCACATTATCGATCTTCATTGAAATAATGTGAAGAGAATTTCTATCATCAGAAATATCGTGCTGAAACAAACGATTGGATGCTATCAGAAGATACGGAATCGAGCAAAAGCGGGTGTTGCCTATGAAGCTGCTTCCCAGTGTTGTTGCATCAGATTAAATCTAGATAAATTAAGAATGGGTTGCTGTCAGATTTTGAGGACGAACATCTCGATCTGCTCTGGTGTTTTCTTAGTTAGTTGTTCGAGAAGTTCATGGAGTCGAATGGGTAATTGTTATCGGAGAGCTACGTTGAAGGAAAGTGTGAGATGAGGAGAATCTGGTCTTCTCTGGTCACCAGTCACTTCTATCAAAGGATAACCACAAGTCCTTTCAAAGAATCACTCCTTTCTCCGGTTGAGAGGGCGTCGGATTAATTTCTTTAGATAAAGGAAGCCTCAACGTCAACTAAAGGACATGGTGACCTGAAGACTTGGATATTTCCTTGTGAGCAATGCTCCCTGGGCTTCCTGCGACTATTTCAGGGGCGAAGCAGAAGAATCTTTCAAGTCGAAAACTCGAAATTTCTCTTGTTGTTTTTATTTCGGAGAGCTGTGTTGATTTAACTCGTTTCCCAGATGATCCTTCCTCGGTTTATGTTGACCTAGCTCGTTTGGGATTAGAGTAGCAGCTCAGTCATTCTATTCTGACAAAAATTGTATTCCTGCGAGAGATACATTTCCGACCAAAATCGACACGAATCGTTTTACTGCTTCGCCACTGATTTCTTTCTCATATTCTACAATATTTTTCAGTGGAGGCGTTCTATTTGAACTGCTTAATTTATCAATTTCAATACGATCTCACTTAACCTTCTGCCGCGTGAGGGCACGACCCTTGAAGCAATCCGTGATTAACAAGCAGCAGATGGTTGATGGTAGATTGTCATCGCCTAATGACCGGCCCAATATTAATGGAATAATTCTAGAGGAAGACATCCGTCCTGACTCGTCCAACTCAATAAATTATCAAACACCTTCCGCGATGTCTTTAACTGTTGAGCATATCCCGATATTTGAATTACAATGAAGATAATTGGAGAATAACATTCTATTTGTTGAATATGGGTGTTGTGTTGAGAAGGAAACAAATGCTGATGTATTTAACAAAGAAATAGTTTGTAATTTTTGAATTTTTGAAATGTGAGGATTCATCATGCATGTTCCTACCAGAGCCTTCAATGTACCGTAATTGATATTAAATATGGGAGTAACAATCAAAAGGTTTATGTCCAATTCCATATCCGGTGGATGTTTTTTATCAATCCATTATTATTTATAGAGATTATTTATCTGTTGCGTACGTTGCTCAGAGATTTTTACTTTTTTTTAAATTTTATACGAGGTCGGGAGGTGATACCATGAAAAGATGACAGGTTCGAACCTGAGGAGCACTCGGTAGGTACGCAAAATTAATAGATATTAATTAATTAGTTCATTAAAATATATTGCAACACGAGTTTCAAAATATAATTTATGGTATTCAAAAATCGTAAGTTATGAAATCAATCGTGTGATTTACGATCTCAATCCTTGAATCCCATATTTTCCTAGATTGAGATCATAAATGATTACTGAAAGATGAATTATCATTTTAAAATCGTAATTTACGAGATTGTTTAT